TATCTGGCATGAGCTACACTTGGATAATTGGCTTGTTTCAGCAAGGGAACTGCATGACACTTGTCTTAGGCTGAGTTCTCTAGAGGAGCAAAACCAGTGAAGAAAATGTATAAATAAATACGTATAGAGAGGTTTATTTCAAGGAAATGGCTCATGTGGTTGTGGAGGCTGGCAAGTCCCAAATCTGTAGGTCAGGTGTCAGGCTGGAGGCTTCTCCTGACTCATGTGGTTGCAGGGGCTGACGAACCCAAAACTGACAGGTCAAATGGCAGGCTGCTGTCTTATGGGGCTGTGGGAGCTGGCAAATTCCAAAATCTGCAAGTCAGGTGGCAGGCTGCTGGCTCATGTCCCAAGAACCAGAGGACAGATGATGATGAGTCAGATGCAGGATCTAGAGAGAGAGAGAGCTTTACCAGAACATCCATATATACTTGATGCAGGCCACACCCCCAAGGAAATTCCTCTTACATCAGATCATAAAATGGAGGATAATTACATAATATTGAGAATCACGGCCTAGCCAAGTTGACAAATAACATTAACCATCATAACATCTGATACCTCTCCTTTTAGAAATATGCTAGCTTATGTGGATTATATAATGAAAAATAAGAATTTGCAGTTTAGTTGGAAACACAGTACTAGAATTCTAAAATAAGCAGAAAACAGACTCTATAGCTTATAATCAATTGGTAAAATGCGTAGCACCTAAAAGTGCTATACACTTTTCTATACAAATTTTTAAAGTAGCGAAAAGGTAGTACTAGCAACTGGTATATGAAATGAGAGATAGTGTAGCCATCATTATATATGTGTGTGTTCCACTTTCTCTCCTTTCCTCTCCAGCAGATATTTTTCTATCAGCTCATCTTGTAGCATAGAAGGTGCAATATGCATACTCTAGCACATTCTTATATACCAGATTGACAAAAATATAAATTGTTCAGAGTGACAGCGAACTGCGAGGAAGACATAGACACGTGTATTTGAAATAATTTTAAAAAATGTGATCAGGATGAATTCTTCCACTGAAGTTCCCACAACAAATGTTTACTTGAAAATTTTTAGAAGCTGCATTTTTTTCTTTTTATTTTGTAAATCTTGTGATGAATTCAACATTACAGTAAGCAGAGACGTTCTGTCTGCAGTAATGCTCTTGCATCATCTAAGCTATTCCCAGAGGAAATAATGGGTACAAGGGAAATCAAGTAAAAAATAACTTTTATCAGATCTACTGTAAAAGGCTTTTCTGACATCAAGGGCATATGCAGATTTCCTTGATAGCCTGATGCCATGTGATTTAGTTTAGTAACTTTCTTACTTCCCATCACTTATATTCTCTAAGTAACTTGACATCTGAATATCTACTTTATGCATAAAATTATATATATTATGAGAGAATATGGCATTGATACCATTTTAACAATATCACAATGTATGCCTTTTGGATAATTTAATAGTACATATTTGTGATTTTGAGTCACTTGTTTTAAGTATTTGAAACAGGATTAGCTCTCATATTTCGTTACTTTTGATTTTGCTATCACTTAATTTAGGTCATAAAACCTTGAAGCATTTATAACATTATTATGGGAAACTGTCTGAAGTTATCTGATTTTTATCTTTAAATGTCATTTCTTATTACCAAATAAGAAAAAAATAATATATTATTTCCCCTATGTTACTTAATAGAATCATATAGCCCAGAAAGAATCTCAAAATATAAAGTGAAATGCTTCAATATAAATTTATAAAAAGTCTGTATTCCATAAACATTATTTAAAAATCTAAGGCAAATTACAAGGACAAAAAAAATTAAATATTAGGATCAGACAATGGATTGCTAGTTAAATACTTAAAATTTCTCACAAATGAAAAAGAGGGAAATTATACTACTAAAACTATTTTAAAAGAGTATAAATAAGCAATTTGAAAATAAAATACAGATAGTTAATAATGTAGAAAAAGGCTTAAGTTTACCAGTTATCAAATAAATTGCATTTGAATCAACAAGATCATTGATTTATTTGCCATATGATCCATTTTTAAAATACAGTGTTACTACCCAGTATTGATGGGCATAAGAGTAAAAAGGAATGGCAATTTTATATACTTCTAGTAAGCATATTAATTAGTACAATTTTCTAGGGAGAAATTTGTCTTTAAAATTTTGGTATCTCTCTTTTGACATAGCAAGTTCCTAGGAATTTATCCTAAGGAAATAACTATAGCCACAAGATGTTCATTGTACATTGTTTATTTTCCACAACCAATCAGAAATAACCTACATATCCAAGAAAGAGGGATGATTTGAATAAAGTATGGTATGCTCATGAAAACTACTATGAAGCCATACAAATGATATTCTGGAAGTATATTTACTGACATAATGAGATGTTCCTAACTCATGGTTATCTGGGAAAAAAAAATACAACTTGGAAAATAAAAGCACACAATGATCTTGCATTAGGCTTTTTTTAGACATAAGAAGAATTGCTCAAATTTACATAGGTAATAAAATTTTATCATAATGTGTACCCAGAAAAGTTTTTGTTGTTGTTAGGTGCCATCAAGTCAGTTCCAACTCATAGCAACCCTATGTACAACAGAACAAAACACTGCCTGGTCCTATGCCATCCTCACAATCGTTGTTATGCTTGAGCCCATTGTTGCAGTCACTGTGTCAATCTATCTCATTGAGGATCTTCCTCTTTTTCGCTGACCCTCTACTCTACCAAGCTTGATGTCCTTCTCCAGGGACTGATCCCTCCTAATAACATGTCCAAAGTATGTGAGACGAAGTCTCACCATCCTTGCTTCTAATGAGCATTCTGGATGCACTTCTTCCGAGACAGATTTGTTTGTTATTCTGGTAGTCCATGGTATATTCAATATTCTACACCAACACCATAATTCAAAGGCATCAATTCTTCTTCGGTCTTCCTTATTCATTGTCCAGCTTTTGCATGCATATGAGGCGATTGATAACACCATGGCTTGGGTCAGGTGCACCTTAGTCCTTAAAGTGACATCTTTGCTTTTCAACGCTTTAAAGAGATCTTTTGCAGCAGATTTGCACAACGCAATGTGTCATTTGATTTCTTGATTCAGAAAAGTGAGGAAGCACAAAATACACTTCTCAATAACTTCCTATATGGGCTTCATGGAAGATCAAGAGAATAATTATTCACGACTCAGGACATGAAGGCATCTCTGAGGAATCAGTTATCACATCATTCCCCCAAGAGTGGGTTCCTGTTGCTGACTTGTCTAATGATTTTGCCTTTCTCACCTTCCCTCTGTCTTCTTTCTATAACTTATTCATTATTTCTGTTTCTTCTTCTATGCCTTCTACTTCTACTGTTATTACTATTTCTGTTTCTTTGTGTGCATCTGATTGTGTTTATTTGCGTGTCTCAAACAAAACTCCCTAAGAAAGAGCATCCTATTGAGCCTGTTAGTTATCATCCACACTGGAAAGAGTTCTTATGATAGGCTACCCCTTTAGCTCCTGGTTCAGGATTTAGCTGGTTATCTTTGGTTTCAGCATTGATTAAAGATCCAGTCAGGATTGTCTAGGACAGTAGGGTCATGTGACACAAATCATGGTGACATATGCAGAAGAAACCACTCTTTTTTGGATTTTCTCAAAAGGGAGTTATAGATCTAAGGGAAACCTAGAATTATCTTTCTATGATGAAATTGTATAATCTATAATCTGTAGAATCTATAATATAGGATCATTTGATTTTGTTCTTATTGTTTAGTTTTTATATTAAACATGTTCATTATCTGCCTCTAAAGAAAAAAAATAAAAGTATATTTTGCTTTATATTTTAAATTACCTGGTTCAGTCTCCTGCCTAAAGGCTATTATATTCTTGCCAGCGATTATTTGTAAAGTTATGCTTCTCTAAAACATCCACTCTAGCTCATGTATTCTTCCGTCAGCTATTCTCGCTCCTCTTTCTATCTTGATTCCTATAAGAACCTTGTAATTGATGCTTAGTAATGTCAGCGGCTTCTAAATCCTAAAACACTCCCTTTAACCACCTACATCATGTTTCATTTCACCGTTCTCTAAAAAGGCATTTGGATATTACAACTAAGTAATTATTCAGATTGTACACAGAATCTTGTAGAAATCAGTTTTGAAGCTATCTGAGCCAATAGTACGTTGCCTTTTCAAAATTTGGTGGTGCTCTCCTATGTTAAATTGTTTCTTCATTCTTTGATCAGAACTTTGGCATTTCCCACTTGCTCCTCTCCTGGCTTCAGAAACAATTCTCTAAAAAAATTCCTTATCTGCAGGGATATTATTTAATTTCTTGCTTAACGTCACCCTAGTCTATTTTTGTTTCTTAAGCCTGCCAATATGGTCCATTTTCTTCCTGATCTAGCAAAGAAAAGTAGTGTTTTTTTGTTTTGTTTTGTCTTTTTCTGATTTGACTTTTTTATTTTATCACCAGTTTGATCTTATCCTTTATAGACTTTCCGTAATTTGAGTCATGTTTATTAGTATCCACTCTATGCAAGACATTGTTCTAGACACTCTGGGGAATATAGTCTCCAGTTTCTGCCCATTAGTGGAGGGAAGGAAAACGTATAACTATAATATGGGGAGGAGGGACAAAGAAGAAAACAGAAAGCTAAGGATTGTATTGGAAATGTCAGGAGAAGGTAGAAGAATTAGTTGAGGGAGGCAGCAAAGGAGGAATCAGAAAACGTTGAGAAGGGATATTATGTTTCTGTTTATATCTTACATGATAGGCAGTAAAAAAAATCATTTCAATTGAAATCCATTCAACCAAAAAATGTAATATTAAGATATCAGTGTGTGTGTGTGGGGGGGGGGGAATTGGTCAGGATGAAATGAATCACTGTCAAATGCAGCAGAACAAAGACTAAGGAACAGTCCTAAGAGAAGCCGTTAAGAAGAAACCCCAGATGTCCATTCAGTAGAAAGCAGAGATAGAAATGCCGTATTGAAAGTAGAATGTGGTGCTCGCTTCAGCAGCACATATACTAAAATTGGAATGATACAGAGAATATTAACATAGCCCTTGTGCATGGATGACACGCAAATTTGTGAAGCATTCCATACTTTTAAGTCAGCATAACTGGACTAAACCGAAGCTAAGAAGTTTCCTGAATACAATCAAACACTTTGAGGGACAGAGTAGCAGGGGCAGGGGTCTGGGAATCATGCTTTCAGGGGACATCTAGGTCAACTGGCATAATAAAGTTGATTAAGAAAATGTTCTGCATCCCACATTGGTGGGTGGCGTCTGGGGTCTTAAAAGCTAGCAAGCGCAGCCATCTAAGATTCATCAATTGGTCTTAACACACCTGAAGCAAAGGAGCATGAATAACACCAAAGACACAAGGGAAGTATTAGCCCAAGAGACAGAAAGGGCCACGTAAACCAGAGACTTCATCAGCCTGAGACCAGAAGAACTAGATGGTGCCCAGCTACCACCAATGACCACCCTGACAGGGAACACAACAGAGAGTCCCTGATGCAGCAGGAGAAAAGTGGGGTGCAGACCTCAAATTTTAGTGAAAAGACCAGACTTAATCATTTGATTGAGACTGGAGGGACTCTGGAAGACATGACTCCCGGACTCTTTGTTAGTCCAGAACTAAAACCATTCCCAAGGTCAACTCTTCAAAGATTAGACTGGACTATGGGACATAAAATGATACTTGTAAAGAGTGTGCTTCTTAGCTGCTCCTCTCCAGAGACGAGATGATTGAATGGACATGGGAAATCCAAGGTGGAAAGGAGGAGTGTACTGTCACGGTATAGGCAGAGCAAACAGGGTCACATAACAATGTATGTATAAATTTTTGTATGAGAGACTAACTTGAATTGTAAACTTTCACTTAAAGCACAACAAAAAAATGTTCTAAATAAAAAAAAAGAAAGTAGAATGCGGTAAGGATTGTTACCCAAGCATCTGAGCATTTTGGTAATGAAAAGAGACAAGAAATCATAGAGGAGGAGTAGCCAATTGGCATAAAAATGCTCTAAGAATAAAAACAATGACTAGAAGGGGAACCAGCACCTGTAAGAACAATGTTAGACATCTCAAAGTATGAACTGAGAGTTTTGACAATATACTATAAACAGCAGAAGCTTCTTTTAAGCAATATTCAAAACATATAAACAAACCAAAAACATTTTTTTTAAAAAGCAACAATAGAATAGAAAGAAGGGACCATTGTAAGGGCCTTCTCATTTCCCTTAAGATAAAATAAAAAAAAACTTCCTCATGGCCTAGAAATCCTTTCCACCCTCCCTTAGCCGCTGACCTTTTTACAATTCCATAAATGTCCCAGGATCTTTCTTCTCTCCAGTCTTTGCTCATGTCATTCTATTGGCTTGCAATCCTCTTTTTTTCAATTCATCTCCTGGCTATCTTCAAAACTTTCAGGTCCTGTTACTTGTTCAGGAAAACCTTTTCTTGATCGTACAAATAAAAAATTATATTTCTCTGTTTTGATATCTTATCTTACCTCCTACTTTCCCCTACAATAATTTGTAAGTATGTATTTTGGTGCAGTCATTGCTTACAGCTTATCTCCCTGACTATAAGCTCCTTGAGGGCAGGGGCCATAGTCTACTCGTCACACAACTGTAGTCTCATCAAGTGGTAGCTCTTGCCCAGCACAGTAAGTATATGTTTAATTAATAAATGAATCTAGTTGATATAAAACAAATTTAGTCTTTAGGTTAAATACAGTTAAATAATTTATTGTCAGAGCTGATGGAATTCTAGAAAAGTGTTAGTAACATTTGAGGAATAAAAGTGAGATAGCTATGAACAATTGGTAGTTATCATTCATTCTCCATTCCCTTCTATATACCTTCACATATCACAATGTGTAAAGCTAAAAACTACATTCCCAGACTCCCTTTAAACTACATCTCAGAATGGTAATTAGGTTCTGCCAGGGGTGTAGTGGTTAAGAGCTACAGCTGCTAACCAAAAGGTCGGCAGTTCTAATCCACCAGGCGCTCCTTGGAAATCGTATGGGGCAGTTCTACTCTGTCCTATAGGGTTGTTATGAGTTGGAATCGACTCAACGGTAACGGGTTTGGTTGTTTTTTTTTTTTAGTGAAATCCACTCTGAGGATCAAGTGGCTTGGATGCCATCTTCCTGCTGTGGCTGCTGGGGCTGTTGGCAAAACATTCCTAAAGATGTGTCTATTGTGGCCTGACTCAAGGTTCTGGTGACAAGTCATTAACTCCTGGGTATGAGAGGCAGATATGACACAGCAGTGATAGTGCCAACAGCATCTTCCTCATCTTTGGATCTCATCTATGGTGAGTTCAGTGAGAGACTACTGACTTTCATTCCTCCATTTTTAAACACCTATGTCCCGATATTGAATCCCTTTCTGCTTAAAATACTTAGAATTGTCAGTTTACTGTATTGAACCTAGACATATACTTATAAAGCACTGAAAAGACTAGAACTGGAAAAATGGTGTTTTTATGTTATTGACCAATAGCTTTAACCTCACGCCATAGCAAAATTTGGTAACCATTACTAAATGAACAATTTGTCATTATTTAAAATGGAACAAAAGTGATCACTCAAAGCCAGCATAAAATCACTGAAAGCATGTCATGCAAACTAACATTAATTGTTTTTTGATAGAGACTCTATACTAGAAAATCAGTATGATCCCATACTCATAGTGTACTTGGATTTCAGTGAGCATTTAACACAAATCTCTCATGTAATCTTCTGAGGAGCCCCGGTGGTGTAGTGGTTAAGTGCTCAGCTGCTAACTGAAAAGTCCAGTGGTTCGAACCCACCAGCCACTCCTGGGGGAAAGATGTGGCAGTCTGCTTCTGTAAAGATTACAGCCTTGGAAGCCCTATGGGGCAGTTCCACTCTGTCCTATATGGCCGCTGTGTGTCAGGATTAACTCAATGGCAATGGGTTTTTAAACTTCTGAGGATCCTGTCCTGGATCACTCAAGTACAGTTGGTAATACAGTACTTGTTACAGTACTCATGTACTGTCTCAAGCAGAGTTGATAATACAGTACTTGATATAGTACTCAAATACTGTCCCAAGTACAATTGATAATACAGTACTTAAGTACTGTCCTCTTTACTTTTACATCATTTTGTTTATTCATATGTGATAATTATTATCACATTAATTGGCAGTTACACGTTCACATATCTGTCCTCCTTCTTCTGCCTACGTTTGGAGTTTCTAAATGTCTGACACCATATATTATTTATCTATATATTCCTAACACCTAGCACAATGCTTGTCACACAGTCCAAAACCCATGGCCGTAGAGTAGATTCCAACTGATAGTGACCCTGTAGGACAGAGTAGAACTGCCCTGTAGAATTACCAAGGCTGTAAATCTTTACGGAAGCAGACTGCCACATCTTTCTTCCACAGAGTGGCTGGTGGATTAGAATCGCCAACCTTTTGGTTAGCAGTCAAGTGGTTAACCACTGCACCACCAGAGCTCCTACTTGTCACACAGTAGGTGTGTTCGCTAAATTCGAAAACTTAGTATTGAATTATGACACAACTAGATAAACTCCTAAGTGATTGAAAACATTAACCTCAAATGCACTGATTAATGGATCTATAAGAACTGGAGAGAGGACCCAATTAGAATCACTCCAGGTTTTTTCACTCTAACTGAGTAATTGTTTTATCCTAGAAAGAAGTATTGCCTTATCTTATGCCTCTGCAGCATAATGTATTAAATTGGTACAGTGTCATTTTTTATTATGCTTCGCAGTGGAACTCATCATTTTGTTTGGATGATGTTCAGCCTCATCGACTAGATTTATAAATTTCTTAAAGGTTCAGGCTCTGTCTACCTCTTTTCCTCTGCTCACATCATTAACTTCAGTGCTGTGCCCACAGTGGGTATGCAGTGGGCCCATTTTCCACGACCGTTTTCTTGTAACTGGTTCCCTCCCTCTTAGCTGATTCCTCTGCTGGCCTCCAACCCTCTATGGCTGGTCTTTTGTCAATTTCAGAATTAGTAGGGGATCAATAGAAGCTGTTGTGTATTGCCTCTCATTTCATCATTTAGAATAAACTGAGTCTTTTTTTTTTTTTTTTTGGACAACACCCAATACTTAAGACGCCCACATATTTGGAGTAAATCACTGTAAATAGGCGATCAGCAGAAAACAACAGCCTGTAGAATACATTACCAAGGAGCAGTAGGCAGCCAAGTTTTTAGTAACTGGGCTACTAGCCACCAATTTAAAGCTTTAATCTGAACACACTTTCACCACACAGAAGTCTGCTTTTCTGCACAACATAAATGGAAGGGGATAAAACACTACTCCTCTAAGTTATATTAAATTGATATTTTTAACACAATTCTGGCTTTGAGTTGGTAAACATGCTTTAGAAAATGCATATCCTCCCCAAAACGAGAAATGCTTAAAACAAGAGAATGTATGTAAATATACATGAAAAGGGGCCTTTTTTTAAAAAAATCATTTCCATCACCCCCATTACCACCCTACCTCATAAGGTGAGGCTAACTTGCAGCTAATTGGCTCTGGCAGTATTAAACTTGGTCCTTACATAACACCATCAAATGTTTTCTGTCATTTAGTCACTAATAACTCTATCTGCCATAGAGAAGGCAAGCGACTAGAATCTATTTCATTTGAATGCTGGAGAGCCTTTTTAAATTTTGGTATTTTCAGTTCCAAGTTGAAAATAAGCATTTTCCAAAAAAAAAAAAAAACTATTTGGAAGTGAGTTATTGAGAGTGTTCTATTCTACTAATGATACTCTACCAATGAGCAATGAATGTGAGCTTATAATCATAAAAATACTTGATGATGCCTTTTTATCCAAATATCCTAGAGCATTAAAGGAAATAAAAAAATCTCCACCATTTGCATACTACTTCTGTTAGAGAATAAAATAAATAAACATGCAGAAAATTGTTTAAGGAGTTTCTGTGCAACACACAGTATCAACATCACTGACAGTATTTCTGATTCCCCACCACCAAGTCTAAACAAACATGTTCTTTTCCAGTGAGAACTCACAAGTTCAACAGACACTCACCTATGTTTTGACTTTAGTC